GAAAGAAGGTAAGCGCCATTTGCATGGCCCCTCGTTCGCTGAGCCGATTTTCAATTCCACTGATTTTGTTATCAGCAATTTCATCGTACATAGTATGCAAGTATAATGGTGTAAAATCACAATATAAGCTCTGATGACCGCATTGCCATACCGGTGAATGAGTGTTAATTTTTGTCCTTTTGACCATCGATTTTTATGTCTGCACCTTCGCACTGCGCTTTCTGACAGCTGTGACTCATAAAGCCAAACCGATTGGAATGCCCAGGATAGGTGGTCCGTTCGAACTCACAGATTGTGCTACAGGTAAGTAAGTTGAGCTACACCTCTGCTTTGCAATAGCGAATTGCATGTATCGTGTACAAGTATTGTATTCGCTATCTATTTGGTATGCTCGTACACATACGTCACATTACAGCATGCAACACCATGCAGCTGAAATACTGCGCTACGCTGGATGACTTCTCAAATGTTAAAATGTTTGTGCTTCATTTCGCTATCTGTTCGGTATATCTGTATTTTGAGTTATACTCGCGTATAGTATACATCAATATGTCGAAAATTGACCGTGTTCTACTGTATGGGTGTCGTATTTATCAAGAAGTGTGTAGTTTTTGCAATCACGCCTGGGCGGGTGTACATTCTTCCGCACTCTTCTGGATATTTACTTCAGGATATTGCGTGGAGTCCCGTCTTTGAATTTATAGCAGATTGTAGGTTTCTAATGCCATGAATTGTGCGCATCGTGTCATCATCACAGGGAAGACTGTTACGGATAAGGACTTCCATGGTAAATGGTTGCTGATATACTTTGGTTTCACATTTTGTCCAGATGTTTGTCCAGATGAGCTCTACAAGGTATGCTTACAAATTGCGTCCATTCATTGTGTGAATTCAAATAAGTATAGACACAAGCTATGCTTCGTCATCTTTCATTTTGATTCTCGTAAATCTTACAGCAAATCTTGCTTTTCCTCTGCTTCTTAAAGTATTCCGGTGGAGGTCCGACTTGAAGTAGATAGTCCCCTTTTGCACACTAAATGGCTTGCAATTGAAATGGAGGAAATTTTCTAGTTTGAATGTAACGGCAATTGAGTATCAACAAACTTATTGAGACTGCAGTTAAGTGCATACTTCTTGTGGTGTCTCAACTCTACGATATTTTTCCTATGATGCTGTTCAAGATTGCAGATATTTGCAACATGCTGGAGGGCACAACACTGATAGGAGAGAAGTTAGTCCCGATTTTCATCTCCATCGATCCTAAACGTGATACCCCGGAAGTTGTCAAAGAATATGTATCAGGTACGGGTACCAGTTAACTACTGTCTCGTAGCACTCCGCTTCTCTGTATACCTCATTTTCTTCGTTGTAGTTACACACATGTGTGCGTGAATCTGTGGATACAACACCTCACTGCAGTGTCGTGCACATTTAGACCGTACGCGCAGAAGCACCTTCGCGGCATTCATAAAGAAGCGTGGCGGCTTACTAGTCTGATAGTATCTATATATTTTTTCTGTATAGACAAAAAAAGTCTGATCGCTCATGCAGAAAGTGTTTAATTCATCACACAATATTCAAAAAACTCGCAGAGTTCCACCCTCGAATGGTTGGTTTGACTGGTGCCAAGGAGAAGACCGATGCCATCGCTAAATCTTACCGAGTGCATACTAGTGAGGGTCCGCCAATGGATGATGATCCCAACGATTACATCGGTGTGTGACTCGAAGGAGTTGGAGATTGCTTTGATTTTATTTCGCGTTCTATACTGGGACATATCGTTTAGGACATTCCTGCATAAATGTGACATAATCTCATCCATCACTACATGTGTTGTTCTTTTAGTTTGCGCATTTGAGAATAATTGCGGTGATTGTAGTCTAATCTATTTGCTTAATAAAATCAATTGCAATATTTTGTTACCACTGCAGTGGACCACTCGATCATCACGTACCTGGTCGACCCACAGGGTGTATTCCAGGCGTTCTACGGCCAAAATAGTACTGCTATGGAGGTGGGCAATGATATCGTGAAATATGTGCGGAACTGGACTCCTCGAAGTGATGAACAGCTCGCTCAACGAATTTAAAGAGGCGCTCTGTGCTACCTGCGAAACCGGCTTAATTTAGTTAGTGCCAGCGAAAGCATAAATTCTGATGTTGGAGTAGTAGCAAATAGGGTTTGAAGTTCAATTACACAACGTAATCTCAGAACGTGCAAACCGCTATATTTTATTTTTTACTGTCCTTACGTCAGTTTGAACAACGCGATTTTGCTAAATATGTTCAATCTAGGAAACAGTATCGTTGAAACAAAACGTTCAAGGCTCAAGTCAGTGAAACTAAGGTGAAATATGATCGCAGACGCTTGTGGCTTCGTTGAGTTGAGATGCGAATTAGATAAAAAAAATACAAGTGTGTTTACGTTGTGGCTGTTGCTTAGTACTGCCACAAGTTGTTGACTCTTGGTGTATTTCGTTGCCATTCGATTTTTGGCTTCCTGTCTTCGGTGGGTACTGTATATCAGAGTAAATAATTACAGTGATATTCATGTTTGAACTACGTACATACAAGTGCAACTCGTTGTAATTCTCTGGCTCTTGTCAATTTTTATTCTGATTCTTCTAGTAGTTTATCTAATCCTATGGAGATCATATGGGGCCATTAACCTGTGCATAAATGCGAACATGCGGCTAAACCAAGTCAAAGAGAAAGGCATAACAATCCGTACTATCATTCTGATGAATTTTAAGGAGTGAATATCTGAAGGACGACTTTCCATCTAGTGTCGATCATACAACCCCAAAACATCGGACTTCACTCCCACGACAAACTGGCTGTTTTGTAATCTTCCGTTGGTGCTATCCATACAATTGTACTTGATCACGTATTCGTGTCACTGGGTGTGTGCATCCGTGCGACCGTGCATCTCTACTCGTTCACAAGTATGCAAATTGCAAACGACATGGCCCTCTCTCTAGAGAAAAATTAAAAGTATACCACAACGGACTAAAGTCCGTAGGACAGGGTGCGAAGTTGTGAACTGTTTAGTGGTGGTTGTTATAGGGAGTAGTAGCTCACGCCTCTTAGACATTATTGGTTATGAGCTATCGCAATTTCAGGAGAAAAGCACTTTATTACAGTGCAAAACCAAACTCTCCAATAGAAAATTACGATACAACCAGACTGTCGTGAGAGCGGAGGTTGTCCGTTGGGCGTTGCACTGCAGTATGTACCACAAATGCAAAAGTGAAGTGTGAAGTCAGCAAAGCAACCGGGAATATCCCGAAAGAATCAACATACCCTCTCGCGCGAGTCTCGGTCTCGAGTTCTCGACTCTCGAGCCATAATTCTCGAGCCATAACTCTCGAGCCTCGAAGGTCTCTTTCTCGACTCTTAATCCTTGACTCTCGAGTCTCGACCTATAGTCTATAGATCTTTACACGTGTGTGAAGTTGTGAACTGTGAATCTGTGAACCGTTTTTGAGTGTGGAACTAATATCTAAATTTCATGAAAACACAATTTATTCTCTAAATTCTATTGGATGTCAACCTGGATACGCTTTCTTTTTGCCAATCACTACTTGTCATTGTATCAGCGATTAAGCACTCCGGAATAAAAATAACTTCGATGAATATTCTGCGTATACTCCCACTCACTCGCAATCTCGCGTGTTGCTTTGAAAGCGGTGCCCGCGGACCGCGGTGGCCGTTGCTTGAATCTTAGAATCTCGGAACCTGGCCGCCCGGGGCTACTATAACGGCGTCTGCCATCTGATATTTCAAACTCCTGAAAAACGAACCAGTAGGCTATGTTTTTGAAATAATCTACAGCAATTTTATAATAATAATGCCACTTGTTGTGTGCGAACTACACCCGCTGGCCGACACCCAGAGTCCCAGACACTCAGAGAAATAGCCCAGGCCTTAGACACCAGATGACCAGAGTCTCTGTTGAATCCCTGGGGCCTGGTGGAGTGGTAGACGTCTGAACGAGCACGAACATCAAATTAGATGCGTAGTACCAATAATTTAGGCCGAAATTTGGTGAGTAGATTCACACAGCCTTCTAAATTAGACAGAAGACTATGGTATATTTATGTTACGATATTGTTAACAAACATGAGATTGTCCGAATTTCTAGATCTGCCTAATTTAGAAGGCTATGGTATAGAAAGCTATTGCATAAATATTTGTTTTTAGATTTTGTTAACATAAGATATATTGTTCGAATTTCTAGATCTGATACTCACTTTTACCGAAAGTGATTGCTAAGCTATCACAATCAATAAAAGATCATATCGGGCAGCATGAGTGTAAATGCAACCGCTGAGCAAGAGGTTGTATCGCGCAGCATGAGTGCAACCGCTGAGCAAGGGCAAGTGAATTCCTTGCCTAAAAAGGTGGCCAAGCCTTGGTACAAGAATAAGCGATGCATGATCCCTCTGATATTTATCATCATTGCACTTCTAGTCGCTGTAATCGTCGGAGGATTGGCGGCCGGTGGCGTGTTTGATTCAGAAACTAAATCTCAGGGGCTATCGGAAGGCGATTCCAGCAATGTAGTGCAACTCGAGGAGGATACAACGACAACCGACCCAGCTATCGCAGGAGACAGTGGAGATTCATCGCAATCAACCACCAGTACGAATAGTGATGGTTCCATTACAGGTAGTAGTGCTACTGCAGATAGTGGTTCTTCAACACCCGTGGCCGTAGATGACGATCGATTCATTGACGGATATTTACCTCCTGCCAAGTACACCGCTGTGAGTATGATTGCGGACATTCTGGGAGGGTCTTTATATATATATATATATATATTTATATATATACCATATATTCGCTAGTATGAGTCGTACTACGAGTATTTCGATACTACTAATATTTTATGCTGTCCAGATAGAAGAGATTGTTTGTCTGACTTTCTGGGAGAGTCTTTATATATATATATATATATACATTATATTCGCTAGTATGAGCCGTACTACGAGTATTTAGATACCACTAATATTTTATGTTGTCCAGATAGCAGAGCTCGTTTGTCCCAGTATCGACTACGTCGTCAATTATGTTCTATGCAATTCAAAATTGCCAACAAACATTGCGTCGAAAAGCGCTATTCTTTTGCATCAAAACATTGATGCTAAAATAACTAATGAATGATGTTTGATGTTCACTACAGGATGAAATTGCAGAAATAAAGCCGGATTGGCAGATATTCGAGGACTTGGTGATTCCTTGGTCCGAGTGGTCTGCGCTGTGTGGTGATGGCATCTGTGGTGAAGGTGAATGGTGCCGCAATTGCCCACAAGACTGCGAGTGCACTTTCAACTGTGGTAACGGGGTGTGTGAGGATGGTGAAAATGGTTGGACGTGCGCCGACGACTGCACACACATTGCAGGTAAGTGTGTGTGTGATCAGTGACGTTGTTATTTTGTAAATGTAATTAGTCCGCGTGTGCTGCTATTGATATGAACACTGTGACAGATACAGAATAATGAACCTGCCTTATGAACAAATTGCACAGCGACCTGCGGCGACGGTGTCTGCCATGAAGAAGCATCCTTCGCTACGAATTCAACTATCTACCGCTCCGGATTTGAATCCCCACTCATATGTCCTATCGATTGTCCACTGGAGGATTCCTGTGGAGACGGTGTTTGCTCGGCAACAGAATCTTGTTTCACTTGCCCTAGCGACTGTGGCGGAATGGTATGGCAAGCAGAACGAGCTTTACCTTTATTTCGACCGGTATCTGTATCACTTTTTCATTGGGTTGTAAAATAGTTATCCGGCGTCATAATAGTCTGTTTTTAAACAACTAACAATTGTATATCTATTTTCTACATTTCAGTGTGCACCAGTATGCGGAGACGCTAAATGTGATCCAACCGAGGGATGTGACGACTGTTCTCGCGACTGTGGCGCTTGTAATACAATCCTAAATGACGGTATCTGCGCATGGCCACGCGAGACAATTGTGAATGCCCCCAACGATTGCAAAGCATACATAGCACCCGGATTTCAATTCGTTGAATACGAAGGCGTACGCTACGCCACCCTCACTGGAGTCAATCCCTTAGAGGAAACATTCAACGTATGTATAGCATATTTAAGTAGACGTTTATATTTGCATCGAGAAAGCTTATGCAATTCTCATCCCAAGATATTGTTGATGAAAACAGTATTTGGCACCACTTTGGACTGTTGTATCATCTGTCTGTAAATTAAGCGCAGTTGGCCACTACAAACTATCGTGAGTCCTACAAACCTATTTTGAGTAACATGATTAGGTACAGCTTTTCTGCCTCGTACCCTGCACAAACATATTGATAAGCTCGTTTTCTCCCTACACAGGATACTTCATGTGTCAGTATAGAGACATTCATTCCCAACGGATGGAAGATGGCATCGAACAACAATCGCACCGCTGAATTGTTGAAGAAATACTTCTTCGCGGTAAGCCAATACTGGAATTGGCATAATTTCTTGATTTTTTGAATATACATTGTAGTTGAGCATACATTCAATGCCACATATTACAGTACATTCTTACCTTCTTTAGCGGATAATTGAATTGTTATTCTATACTACAACTTCGCAGACTGGATGTGCCATTGTTGAAGGAGGTATCGCCCTAGCATCCGCTGGAGAATTGCAGGAATACTGTTCCGACCCACCACTCACTACTAAGCTGCACGGGGATGGCCGTGTCTCCGTTGCTTTCAGTAGGTATGCACGAGGTCAAGTAGTTCACAACCAAACATGCACTACTTTTATTATGCCAGGCATATAAAGGGGGCGAATTTCGATGCTACATATAGACTGCTGTGCTCATATACTCGATTTGCGATTTACACAGCGATTACTGTCCTTCCCGTGTGCTTCTTGAAGCTATCGAAGATGTCATGACACATCCCGATTTCAAGGCCAAGGAGTGCCCATATGACTGTTGGGGTAATGGTGCGTGCGATCCCTTCAGCGGGCGTTGCTCGTGTAATTCTCGCTGGACTGGTTTGTACTGTGAACGTATTATTGGCGACTTCCGAATCCCAGAGCACAACAAGACTTGGTACAAGCCCAAGGCTGGCATCACCTGGCAGTGGCAGTTACAGGTACGTTAGTTTAAGCCTAAAATCCATCTATATTGATGCTGGAGACTTAAATAGAAGGACTGACGACGAACAATCTGCGGAAGAATTTATCGCTTCTATTTCAAACCTGATTTCTATTTTCTTCGTGTGCACTTGTAGTAGCGTTCCAACCATAAGCAAGTAATAAATTCAGATTTGGCGAAAGTCTCTCATTGTGTATTTCAATCTCATATTTCTATCGACAGGATGAGATAGATCAAAGTTTCGATGTAGACCTATACGATGTGGACGTGGACACATCTGCAACAGTTATCAGCCAGCTTCACGACGCAGGCCGTAAGGTGATGTGCTATTTCAGTGCTGGCAGTTGGGAGGAATTCCGTATGGATGAGGCTAAACTAGCTCAATCCATCCGTGGAGGGCCATTAGACTTTGGAGAAGGGTATGTACGGGTGAGCCTACCACGTCCTGTTTTCATTATTCCGCCTGTCGATACTTGGGATATCTTCTGTAACCTCGTCAATTGCGAGACCCGAATAGCGGTACTGTCTGCATGTCCGATAGTCTGACAGATATATCCATGTCTAACAGCACCCGCACACGATTTCTATTTTCTTCTCTTCCAGTGACGTGTTCACCGATGAGGCCTGGTTGGATCTCCGTCGTATGGACATGATCTTGGAGGTAATGCTCGAGCGTATTGATCTGGCGCGCGATAAAGGTTGTGACGCGATTGAGTACGATAACTTGGATATGTACATCCACGATCACAATATCCCCGGAGCCGAATTCGACCTAAAAATCCAATTGCAGTTCAATATCTGGCTGGCTGAACAAGCACACGCAAGGGGCATGGCCGTTGCGTTGAAGAACTCGAATGAATTCAGCATGTTCTTGGCTGACACTTTCGACATGGTGGTGAACGAGGAGTGCTGGGTACGTATATGTGAAATGCGCGACTTTAAATTCATTTTGTCATTGACACAATGTTATATAGTGGGTACGCGTAATACTCCGATTTCAATCATGATAATTCGTGAACAAATCTATCAACGCATCGTCTAACACTGCATGCATATCGTCTACAGATTTTCGGCAACTGTGATAACTACTGGCCATTCATCAACCGAGACAAACCCGTCCTCAATTGCGAGTATTTTACCTCGCTGTGTATGTACTGCGA